GGCGATGGTGGTGTGTCTCAGAGCCTGAGTGGGAACGTCTATACTGCTATTTTAGCCTCACAGCACAAGCCCGAGTAAGCTGACTTGAGCTCCGAGACTTGCTGTCATGAGTTTGGGGTTTTGTTTGGTTTTTTTTTTGCAACTTAGACATATCCTTTGTGACTGCTAGGTAGCAGAACTGTACATCATTTATAAAACTTCTTCAGTTAAAAGCAAGAAAGTGACTAGATCGTAAATCTTACGTTGCCTACAAGCTAAACAAATACCCCCTACTTGATAAGAAGAATGTAAGAGGCAGATTTCTTTGCAACACAATAACCTTGACTCTGACCCATAGATTTTTGGGGTGGTTTTTGTATTATTTTTGCTTATTCAATTTTGGTGTCTAAATATTGTTACAGTTAAATGGGTTTTCGTAGTTGTGATGGTTTATAGGTTAATTGACAGTGGATTTTTTTCTAAAGTAGTTCCAACTGCTGTTTCCGGAGAATAGTTTTGTATATGTAATTTATTAGGAAAAGTATCTAATATAATTCATCCTCAAATGCAAATTTATCTGTCATGTAAGACCATCTACTCTGCTATGGATGAACTGCACAATTCAGGGAGAGGTGTGTGTGCAGAGATGGCTTAAAGCCCACATTTGGGGATGCCCAATCCTGCTGCATCCCCCTTGCACTGAATTAAAGCAGCCCTAAGGTTGCTGTAACTTACAATGGTGCCAACCAGCAATTGGCATGGAATAGGGACATCCCAGCCATTCTGCCTGTGGCTTCACCTCTTTTCTTTTGTTAGTCAGTAGCTGGGAAGAAGAGTGGCAGGAGAGCTCTCCTCTTGGATGGGGGTGATCCTCCTGATGCAACAATAGTATTTATTTTGGTCAGAGTTAAGGTTATGAATTAAAGGAAAAATAAATCAATCAGGTCTGAGCTTAAGCAAAAACATCACAATTGGGTAGGATGAAGAGAATATGTGGGATGTAGAATTGCTTTGCCCATGATCTCACTTACATGTATTCACTAACATGGGATCTTTGTCTGGAAAAGGCTGAGAATTGCTGCTGTGACATCATTGCAACCATAGTATGGCCAAGGCCCTAGAATGTCTTGTATTTAGGGAGCACGGGTGCCAGGATTCTGTATGCAGCACTGTGGAGTGTGTGTTTGGGGAAGGACTCTGCACTTTTGCCCACTATACACTTTCCATTAGAACAGGGGCAGACCCAGACCCAGAATCTGACCCTTAAATAAATATATATACACACACACAGGCTGAGCAGGAGGTGAATAGTTAGAAGACAAATAGTTAAAACTGGGATTTCCAGCAGAGGGGAGGTGACCACAGCTGGTAAGGAGTTTTCCAATGAAAAATTGTTCCTGGGGAAAGAGTCAGTTTCAACAAATCCTCCCAATTTTGGGGAGAAAATTTGAAATTTTTTAGTTTATACTAAAACTTAAAAAGGTCAAAATTTAAAATAAAATGTTTTGATTTACCAGATCTTACTTTAAAAAAAAATATTATTTCTTGTTATCAGTTTGTGAAAAATGTCAAGATTGACCATTCATCCCATGTCAGGAGAGGAACAAATTTAAACTTTCAAAAACCTCTTGCAGAATGGGGAACCAGGTTCCCCCCCAGCCTGCGAGATATCAGCAGAAATGTCTCCCTCCATCCCTGCAACTCCTTATGGAACTTACAGAGCAAAGCGGTCTGATACCAGTTTGCTTCTTTAAGGATGTTTGGTAAATTTATGAAATGTTGCAAAGAATTTCTCTCATCTGATGAATGTTCCATGGCTGAATGTTGATTCGGTCATGCCCGATTTGTCCCACAGGGACAGGTCATAATTGTGGTTGCTGCAGGCAGAACCACCTAGGACAGGGTTTCTCAAACTTCATTGTATCGTGACTCCCTTCTGACAACAAATATTACTACACGACCCCAGGCAGGGGAACTGAAGCCTGAGCTCTGTTGCCCCGGGCAGGGAGGCCAAACCCAAAGTCTGAGCCCCACCACCCGGGGCTGAAGCCTTCGGGTTTCGGCTTCAGATGTGGGTGGTGCGGCTCTGACTTCGGCTTTAGCCCCGGGCCCCAGCAAATCTAACGCCAGCCTTGGCGACCCTATTAAAACAGGGTTGCGACCCACTTTGGGGTCCTGACCCACAGTTTGAGAACGCCTGAGCTAGGAGGTTGTTAATTAAAAAGTTTTAAAAGGCTGTTAATTTTGTCCCACCTTTTGAATTTGCTATTAATTTGCCTCGGATGGCCTCCTTCCATGCATTACTATTTTAGCTTGAGCTTATTGACTATCAAAAAAGCCATTCCGCTAATATTTAGCTAATGCTGGGGCATCAGATCAGTTTGACCTAGCTGAAGTGTTTTAGTATTCGTGAAGCTTTGACTGGTGAGTACATGTATTTGTCACAGTAAGGTGTGCGCTATTCACCAGAATATTGGCAACATCAATTTGTTAGCTCAAATACCAACATTCGGTATTTCAAAAACTCCAAAAAAAAAAAGCCATTTGTAATATTCTATAAATATTTTTTGCTACCTAAAAATTAGCAAATAACAGCACTGGTTTGTGAATGGTTGGTGAAGCCAAGATTAGCCAGATTTTAATTTGGTGAATATTATTTGACCCGTTCTAATTGTAAGGGGCTTATCTCCGAAGCCAAGTGCAATAACCTGAGCACAACATTGTTGATTGTCCGATCTCATGTATATAAAAACAATGATTTCCATATGTTCTTTTAAAAAAAAAAAATCCTTCAGTTATTGGTTGAAAAATTCTACGAGCGTTTGTTCCCCACAGTGGTGATCTTCCTGGATCAGCTCAGATCCAGCTAAACTAATTAGTAGCTGTTTAAAGCCTTCCACATACTCGTTAATTTAAATTAGCCGTGTTATCTGCAAGCCTTTGTTATGACTTTCTATCTGGGGGATTATAGAGAATTGCTGCCTTGGATGCCTGAGGATCTATTTAGTACCATACTTGTGGACAAGCTAGATAATGGGATCTTTTTATTGGATTTTAAAGTACACAGGATCTTGAGCTAAAATGTTTGTCATCGGGTATGTTCTGTGACATAGTAAATGAAACTGAATGACAGTAAGGGCTGACATTCTTTTACCACGCTGGTCGTTACTGAATTAGTGTTTGCGCAGTTGGGGTATATACTATACTGACTATGGGTCAAAGTGCATAGGTAAAAAACGTTCCTTGTTGTCATTGAACAGTGTTTTTCTGAGAGATCAGAAGTAAGGTTTAAAGCTCTATACAAACATTCTTGCTAACAGGGATCTGTAATTTGTTTACAAGACTTCTTAGGCTATCACAAGAAAATGTCTATAACTTTCTGAAACTTACCCAAATCATGTAGCTGCTTTTGGGTCCGAACCTTTGAGTGGAATAATATAAACCAGAGATCGGCAACCTTTGGCACACGGCCCGCCAGGGAGCGGCGGCCAGCACATCCCTCGGCCTGCGCCGCTTCCCGCAGCCCCCATTTGGCCTGGGACGGCGAACTGCAGCCCCTGGGAGCCACGATCAGCGGAACCTGCAGATGCGGCAGGTAAACAAACCGGCCCGGCCCACCAGGGTGCTTACCCTGGCAGGCCTCATGCCAAAGGTTGCCGATCCCTGGTGTAAAAATAACTGGCATTGCGAATTGTACTGTCAGGTTGTATTGGTACAGCCTTTACTGTCTAAGAATGATTGAATTGAATGGTGTGTGCATAGGATTTTGTGGCAAGACTCTCTAGATGTCTAAAAGGCAACTTGGGTAGAGCAGGGCAGATCCTGAGCTGAGTCACACTGATGTAAAGGAGGAGCATCTCCTCCAGAGTGAGTGGAATCTGCCTCGCGGACTGCAGGAACTTATTCCCTTAGGGCTCAATCATGGAGTTTCCACAAGCCCTGAGTAACGGGCAGCATGTAGCTGCAATGCCTCAGGAGCAAATCAGGGAGTGAATTGTGACTCAGGCTATGTCTACACTACAGGCGCTACAATGGCACAGGTACGGCGCTGCAGGTGTGGCACTATAGCGTAGATGCTTCCCGGAGCGACGAAAGGGTTTTTTCCATCGCTGTAATGAATAGATTTCTCAAAGGTGGTAACTGGGTCAACTGAAGAATGCTTCCATCAACCTAGCGGCATCTGCGCTGGGGGTTGGGTTGGCTTAACTAAATTGTTCAGGGGTGGTGGATTTTCCACACCCGTGAGCGGTGTACCTAGATTGACCTAATGTTAAGTTAGATCAGTCTTCAATCACAATTCACTCCTTGCCCATGGTGGAAGTAATCTATGTCACCCTGTCACTGCGACTGATCTTTGTTTCTATACCAGCAAAGCTGTGATGACTGGCACACCCACTCCCTGACCCTCCTATCAATGAGCAATTAGTCATGAGTAATCAATCACTCATCGAGGTAGAAGTTGCACAATCAGGCCCTGAGATGATTGTTTTATATCTTTTTCTTAACGTCTCAGTTTCAGAGAAGTTGACCTGCAGAGAAACCCCCATGTATCCCTGTAAGGAAATTACCTGTCCCAGAAGTTCTTTAGGGCTTGATTCTCTAGCCACTCAGCTGTTATTGAAACAAGTGGCTGTTCATTTGGGCCCAGTAACTTTATTCATGTGCAAAAGTGCTCTCAGGATCGTGGTCCTTAGTTAGCAACCATAGAGCTGTCAGAGCAGGTACAAAACCTGCATTTGTTCCGAATGTACCACTCGAGTAAAAGTGACTCTCCAAAGATCAAAACTATGATTTTAGCATAATAACTTGTAATATGAAGTCAGAAAAGTGCTGGCAAAGAATGAAAGCAAACTTGCCATTATTCTGTGTGATTGAAGATGCACAAAGATGATGTGATCTTATGATTTTTGCTCAGGACGGGCTAAAGTGTTTTTTCTTACTTAGACACAGGGTAAAGCAAGTTCATGTTGTTTTAGTTGTGTGGAAATGGGGAAAGAGGGTCACTTTGTTGTTTCTTTCAGGGAGTTCAAGACTACGAGCACATGGTCTGTGAAGGGAAGGAGTTCTGCATGAATGGCCGTGGATGTGGGAAAATCAGGTTCTGAAGCCTCACTGAATGTGAAGGCCAAGTCCTATGGTAGGTGGAACTACACAGAACTAGAGGCCGACTGCCCTGAGCTAGTTAGCAGTGTGCGTCAGCTTTTAGAAGCAGAGGAAGTGAAGTCATCCCCAAAAGGAACTGAGGATGCGGCAACGGATGGAACAGGCCACAGAGTAACTGGTGTCTCCCAGAGAAAGCCCAGCTGTTGTAAAGTATCTTTAACACCTTCTTCCAGGTTTTCCAGAGCAAGAGCAAAAGCAACATATGTGGAGAGGCAGCCATTAACTGATTGCTACCATGAATGGTTCTATTTACCCCGTCGCTTTAGCAGAACTCTTTTCCACCCCGGTGGGCAGCAGGTGAGAAGATTTCACTTATTATTTTATTTATTACATTTTCAGCAAAAGACCCCCCAGATGAGATCTGTTATGCTAGGCTTGATTTTTTACTTGTGCTAAGCCCCCATATCGCTTATTTAGGAGCCTGACTTTGGGCCCCCACGTTTGTAAATGTTGGCCTTTGAGGTAGACTTGTTGGGTATGAGGTTCAGTGCAGACATCCCCCCCTCCTTCAGCCCTCAGCCTGGCTATTGGAAAGATTTTAACAAAGCATTTCAGATTAATTCATTTTTTGGTAAATCCTTCTGTGCCTGGTAAGCGACTTGGTAGCATTGTGGGCATGCTGCAAAGCCCGTCCTGTCTCCTCCTTGTTAAAGCAGGTGAGGACTGGCTACACTTCTGTGCGGGCCTTTGTTTTTGTTGTGATGGTTAGTTTATGGGAGGGAGGCTCAGAGCACTGGATGGTGTGTGTTGTATTTAAACACTCAAAATAAATAAATGTCGTGTGATGACACTTCACATCCCTTTTTCCCCACAACCCATGCTTTCTAATGATGTCTCTGGCTGACTTTCTAATGATGTCTCGTGTCATACAGCCTCCAAGTACCTGGCCTGCCTCACTGCAAATATGGCGACATTACCAGCCCATTTCAGACCTGGGGTAAATGGGTACGACTCCCCTGAAGGCAATGGAGTCGACATCTGAGCACTTGCTTACATCAGGCCTGGATTAGGCCCTGAAGCGCCATATTCCTGCCCTGCTGACAACACAATGGGGCTTTTATCTGCACTTCTGCTACTTGTATTGTTCAAAGAATTCCTTTGTTTTCTTGTTTCTGTTTGCAGGGATTCTCCCCATTGGTGACACGCATTATAACGTTGTCAAAGCCATACACAAACTACACAGGCCTTTAATGTGTGAACTACAGTTGCTTCATTCTATATGTTTTTTCCCCCCTCCCCTCTAATGTTTCGAGCAGATGAAAATGGTGGAATGTCCGGGCTGTAAGGAGCACCTTCCGAATACTCCTGAGCGTCAGCCAACACTTCAGAGCTCAGCAATGGATGCCAAAGTTTACATCTCCAGTTCTGAGTCCCTTCCTGCCCTAAATGCTGACTGTGGGAGCCAGGCCTCACTTTCCCTTTCTTCAACCACTTTGAAGTCTTTGCCGAACAGAACACTCCCCAGTTTTGATACAGTAATCCCACCGTTTTCCAGATCGAGCCTTTCCACGCCACCTTCAGAAGACGATGACTTTGAACAGCAGGAGATAAGATCAAGAAGCTTACCAGCTCGAAGGGTTTTTTCTTCATCTGAAGTCTTCCCCTCTCGGTATCTGCACAGTCGCTCTACTCCAGTAGAAGATCCCATGCTCAGCACACCCAGGCCATTAAATCCTCTCTTTGATGACTGCATAGCTGTGGAACAAGAAAAAAAGAGGTCGTCCTTTCAGGCTGATTACTGGGCATGTGCAATACCTGATTCTTTACCCCCGTCTCCGGACCGGCAGTCTCCACACTGGAACCCTAATAAAGAGTATGAGGACTTGCTTGATTACACTTACCCTTTGAAGCCAAAATACAAGCTTGCAAAGAACACCAAGTCTGTGATGCCTGATCCCTTCTTCCATGATTCTGGTATAGATCTTGACAGCTTTTCTCTTTCACCTGAGAGCACTTTGAAGTGTATCAGTGCACCCGGTCAAAATCAACATGCTTCAGGGAGCAACGTAAGCCAGAGTAAGGAGTGTGGGATCTCGGCAGAGAGATTTTCAACTCCCTTGTCTAAGAAGCCAGGATATTTAGGAACAGTTCCTTATTATGGACCTTCACCTATCACAAAAGTGTCCTTTGCAGAATGTGTTGCTACTGCCACCAAAGCAGATCCCATTAGAGGGTTTGCAAACAGTTTGCTTACTTCGAAGTGTGCTGGACTTGGTTCGTGTGATCGGACTCACATAGATGGGAGAGGCTGGGGTAGTAGAGGAGATGAAGACTTTTCAAAGTGTCAGGTAAAGAAAAAGGGTGCCAGTCATTTTATACCCTCTACGCAAATACTGCCACTGAAAAAAGCATGGGAGAATGATGAAGAATTTCTTTCCCTGCCTCCCAGAGTCAAGGAGTTAGAAGGTTTGGCTCGATATTTGTCTGATCTTTCGCTGACTAAAGGGAGACCTGGGCATGACCAGGTGCAACAAGACCTTCCATGCTACAGTGGCAGCAGAGGGCAGCTTTCAGCTGACTCTGTTGAAGGTCAAGGCAGCATAAAGAGCAAATATGGAATTCACGGCAGTGAGGATTGGGTCCTGTGTCATGCATGCAACTCTCAAAAGCCCTCTACAGAAAATATTTACCTGAGTAGCCAGGACCACAGGGAATCTGTAAGCAGATTGGGAATGCCCTCCATCAGGGACATGCTAGATGGGAGATACCTATGTGCACCGGAGACTGAAGGGCAGCATCTACCAAAAGGGAGGGACCAACAGAAAGAGTCACTTGCACAATGTATTAAGGTGGGTTGAAACCAGAAATTAATGGAAGATGTCTGTGTATTTTTGTTTTCCTCCCAATTCCTTTTGCATGACGTTTAAATTTCCTGCAGCTGCTACTCATTTATACATTCGGTTTCACTGGAGCAGACTGGTTCTGATTGCGGGAGGGTATCTCTGCCAGCTTGAGGTTCCAGAACGCTACACAACTCTTGCTGTCTGTGGCACCCGGGCTAAAGTGCAGAGCCCAGCCTGCAATGGGAGTTTTTTCCTGCAGCTTCGTGAAGCCACTATGGTTTCGTGTCTGCTGAGTTTCACATTGAATTTCAGGTTCGAGCATACTGAAAAGCTCAAAAGCTGTGTCTGCACTGGACTTTCGCCTACAAAATTTCCCACTAGTGCAGCTCCACCAGTAGGAGCTCTAGTATAGACAAGGCACTGGCATTTTTATCACCATTTTTTCCTAGGCCTTCTCTGAGCAGGGTTAGATGATATTGATGGTGAAAACACTGGTGGTTCTGGTGACTTGTCTACACAAGCGCTCTGGCCTTTGTTGCCACTGAAGTGAAGCTGCCCTGGTGGGAAATCTTAGGGGAAACAGTCCAGGGTAGACACAGCAAGAGTGACACTGTGAAATTGTCGGATTTTCTTCCCCAAACTACAATGTGGCTTGAAGTTCAACCCCATTTGCTGGAAAGTTAGTGAGCCTATCAGTGAGTTGGCTCCTGGTTAAGTGCATACTGAAACCAGGTAGATAATTGTCCGAAAAGTTTAGTAAGTCTCTTTTTCTTAGTATGCTGTAAATCAGAATTTTCAGTGTAACTCCTAAGACTGATCAAAATTTTATCCAGCTTTGAAATTTGGTGGTGGGAAGGGGAAAGAAAAAACTTTTTTGGTGATTTCCCTCCCCCCACACACTTTTTTGACTCGCTGTTGAGCTGGTTGCATTTTTCTGCATTTTGATGACATTTCAAAAGAGGGGGGCAGGGGTTGATTTTCTCCCACCCCCCCATGTTGGACTTTTGCTCCCTTTATTTTCAGCTGGGTCAAGACCTTCCTAAGTAGCGGCTTTGTCCCCAGCATCACGCTGCGTTTGTTTGGTCATATGGTTGTCCGTATTCTGAATAAGTGACCGTGTTGCAATGGCTAATGCCAATTACAGAGACAGGGAGGGAGAGATTGCTATACTTGGGCACTGGACTAACTCACTGCTGTACGTGAGATCAGAATTAGGCCCACAGATCCCAGCCTCAGCATTTCGAACAGGCAGTTTCATCTCTGTGTTTGTTTTGTTGTACTTTGCACCACACAAGTTCTTATTAGGCCTGGTCTAAACTTGAAAGTTGTAACAGTATAACTGTTTCAGGCAGGGGAGTGGGTTTATTTTTTTTTTATTGACATAGTTATACCAGTACAAGCAGGGCCGGCTCCA